GGGAGGTCGTTGGTGGAAGCGAAACTACGCCACCAGAGGAAGACGTTAATGGTGCTTTGCGCAAATGGAAAATCAAAGCAGGCAAAGCAATGTTTGCCTTGAAGACCACAATCGAAGAAGAGATGTTGGAGCATATTCGGGGTGTACGTTTGTGATGCTTTTCTCAAAGAAGAATGATACGAGACTACAACTTTTGGAGAACGAGCTATTATCAATCTCACAACGTGACATGACGATTGCTCAATATTTCCACAAGGTCAAGTCGATATGTCAGGAGATTACTGAACTAGATCCGCAATCCGTCATTACAGAAGCTTGAATGAAGAGGATCATCATCCATGGACTGAGGCCGGAATATAGAAGCTTCGTTACTGTTGTACAAGGATGGCCCGTTCAACCATCACTTGTAGAGTTTGAGAATTTGCTGGCCAGCCAAGAAGCTATGGCTAAGCAAATGGGATGCATCACACTGAAGAGTGAAGAGGAAGCACTCTACACAAGTAAAAGTCGGAGGAATTTCAAGCCACCTTCTAAAGAAGGATACAAAAATGCTGACAAAGGGAAGAGTCAGCAAGGAACCTCACAACCATGGAGATCTCAAAAGACCGACAATAAGAATTATCGGGGGAGGAGGTTCGAAGGTAACTGCAACAATTGTGGAAAGTGGGGCCACATGTCCAAGGATTGTTGGTCAAAGAAAAAGTAAATGGAAAGCAATGTCGTAACTTCCAGAAAGGAAAATGGAGGATGAATGGGATGCTGAGGCATTATGTGCCATAGAAGAAAACGAGTTGGCACTCATGGCAATGATGGGAGAGCGTATCAACTATGAGAATGACTGGATCATTGATTCAGGATGCTCCACTCATATGACTGGCGATCAGAACAAACTACAAGATGTGAAGGAGTACAAAGGGAGTCGCATGGTACTTACAGCCAACAATGCACGACTTCCAATTGCTCAGATTGGCAATACAACGATCACTCCTGGTAATAAATCTGACATGGTCTCACTCCATAATGTTTATCATGTGTCGGGTATGAAGAAGAACTTGTTGTCGGTATCGCAACTAACATCATCAGGAAACTACGTCTTGTTTGTCCCACAAGATGTGAAGGTATATCGAGATCTTAAAATCTCAAAAAAGCCAATAATGGAAGGACGGAGAGTGGAGTCCGTCTATGTGCTCTCCGCAGAGTCTGCCTATGTAGACAAGACTCGTAAGAACGAGACAGCAGATCTATGGCATGCACGGCTGGGACATGTTGGTTATCACAAGTTGAAGTATGGTAAAGCTCATCAATTACCATACAAGGAGTCAAACTTTAGAGCAAAGAAGCCACTAGAGTTAATTCACTCAGATGTGTTCGGTCCAGTGAAGCAGACATCAGTTAGCGGGATGCGGTACATGGTGACGTTCATTGATGATTATTCGAGATATGTGTGGGTTTTCTTCATGAAAGAAAAATCTGAAACATTCTCAAAGTTTCTAGAATTCAAGACAACGGTCGAAGGAGAAGTGAGAAAGAAGATTCGGTGTCTATGCTCAGACAATGGAGGAGAATACACCTCGAAAGAATTCAATCGCTATCTAAAAGAATGTGGTATACGTCATCAATTCACATGTGCCAACACACCTCAACAAAATGGTGTAGCTAAGAGAAAGAATCGACATCTTGCAGAAATTTGTCGAAGCATGCTACACGCGAAGAATGTCCCAGGAAGATTTTGGGCTGAAGCAATGCGAACTGCTGCCCATGTGATCAATAAACTTCCCCAACCAAGGTGAGGTTTCATCTCACCATTTGAGACACTATGGAACATGAAACCTACTGTTAGCTACTTCCGAGTATTTGGTTGCGTCTGCTACGTATTTGTACCTAGTCATTTACGTAGCAAGTTTGACAATAAAGCAGTCAGGTGTATATTTGTTGGATATGACAATCAAAGAAAAGGATGGAGGTGTTGTGATCCAACAAGCGGAATGTGCTACACTTCAAGAGATGTAGTGTTCGATGAAGCATCTTCATGATGGTCCTCGGAGAAGAAAGTATTACCAGACTCGGAAAATATTGAAGAAGTTTTAAAACAAAAGATGGGGGAGCAAACTGCACACATTTGGTTAAGTGTTGATACACCTGAAGATCTGAGCGACACTGATGTCATTGAGCAAGAAGTAACTCAAACAAGTGATGCCGGTGAAAGGGAGACGCCGCCTCCACAACTTCGAAGGACGGAACGAATCCGAAAGCCTAATCCCAAGTATGCTAATGCGGCCATTTTAGAAGACGGTGTTAAAGAGGCAGAGACATATGAAGAAGCAATTAAGAATAAAGCTTGGCAGAAGGCAATGGAAGAAGAAGTTACAGCCTTAAAGCAGAATCAAACGTGGGAACTGGTACCAAGACCGAGAGATATAAAACCTATTTCTTGCAAGTGGGTTTATAAATTAAAGCGACGATCAGATGGATCAATTGAAAGATACACGACTCGTTTGGTGGCTCGAGGGTTCTCACAACAATATGGACTGGACTATGATGAAACATTTAGTCCAGTGGCGAAGATAACAACTGTACGGGTACTGCTAGCTCTTGCAGCTAGTAAAGACTGGAAATTATGGCAGATGGATGTGAAGAATGCTTTCTTGCATGGAGAATTAGACCGGGAGATCTACATGAACCAACCAAAGGGATTTGAGGATGCAGTTAATCCCAGTCATGTGTGCAAGCTGAGAAAAGCTCTTTACGGATTGAAGCAGGCACCAAGAGCCTGGTATGATAAGATTGTTGAATTTTTTACCCGAAGTGGTTATTCAGTTGCACATGCAGACTTAAGCCTGTTCGTCAAAGAAAAAGAAGGGAAGTTGGCAATTGTGTTGGTTTATGTGGATGACTTGATCATCATCGGGGATGACGAAAGAGAAATCCATCAAACAAGAGAAAATCTATCGGTGCTATTCCAAATGAAAGAGCTGGGGGAGCTTGAACACTTCTTGGGGTTAGAAGTTGATCGTACAAAGGAAGGGTTGTTCCTCTGCCAACAAAAGTATACATGAGATATACTTCAAAAGTTTGGCATGTTGGAGTGTAAGCCAGTATCAACACCAATAGAGCCAAATGCCAAGATATGTGCTCATGAAGCAAAAGAGTTGGACGATGGAACGATGTATCAACAACTAGTAGGTAGTCTTATCTACCTAACTTTATCTCGGCCTGACATTGCTTATGCAGTTGGAGTTATGAGTCGATACATGCAAAGTCCGACGAAACCTCATTTGGATGTTGCCCGACGTATCTTAAGATGTGTCAAAGGTACAATTGACTATGGTCTCTTGTATAAAAGAGGAGAAGACTGCAAGTTGGTTGGATATTGTGATGCTGACTATGCAGGAGACCATGATACCCGAAGATCAACCACTGGGTATGTGTTCAAGCTTGGGTCGGGACCAATATCATGGTGTAGTAAAAGACAACCAACCGTATCATTGTCAACCACAGAAGCGGAGTACAAAGCAGCGGCCGTAGCAGCTCAAGAAAGTACATGGTTGGTACTCCTAATGAAGGACTTACATCAAAAAGTTGACTATGTGGTACCACTTCACTGCGATAATCAATCTGCAATTCGGCTGGCAGAAAATCCAGTATTTCATGCTAGAACAAAGCATGTGGAAGTGCATTATCACTTTATCAGAGAGAAAGTCTTGATGGAAGAAATTGAGATGCGACAGATCAAGACCGATGACCAAATAGCAGACTTGTTCACTAAAGGACTGAGTATTGGAAAATGTGAAAGTTTTCGCTATCAACTTAACATGGTACGAAGAATAAGGGCTAGTGTTGAGGGGGAGTGTTAAAGATCATCACTAGCCCAATAGAACAAATATTATCTAGAAGACTTTAGCTTGCTCTAGAACGCTCTAGAAGATTCTAGAACATTATGGAAGACTATGGAAGACTCCGGAATATACCGGAAGAGTCTAGAATACTCTAGAACGACATGGAAGACCCTGGAAGGTTATGGATCATTCTAGAAGACACTGGAGCAACCTAGACCTCTCCAGAACATGATAGAATATTCTAGAAACATATGGAAGCATATAGAGTATGTTAGATAGTTCTAGAGTTATCTAGTATGTAGTAAGTGTATACTAGTATCTAGAACCTTCCTAAGAGGCCTATAAATAGGTGTGGAGCTCATTTGCTCCAAACCATCCAAGAAAGCCTCAAAGAGAGCAAAGTGTGTAGTAGTCTCACAAAGTGTAAGGTCTTCTTAAGTATCTTAAATAAAAGTCTTGTTGTTTCCCATACAAAGAGTCGTGTTCAACATATAATACCTATGGAAGCAGATTGGCTTTGAATGATGGGGCGTTGTATGGACCTGTTTTTTCTTTTCTTTTCTTTTAAATGTGATACATACTTTTAAGTAGGGGCATAATTGTCAACATATATGTTTTTCAGTGGAAGCATAAAAAATCACCGTGGCAATATCAGCTCCCATAAACAAATCTTGAAGGAAAATACCACTGGTTTACTTCGGATAAAAAGGAATGACAATGTAGGCAAGGCTAGGCTAGGCTATGTGCACTTGCTTTCACGAGTATGAATGAAATGGAGATTTACCTTGATCTAGCCAACGCGGAACCTCCCAGCAGAATTAACTTGGTTGCATCTTAAAAAAAAACATGAGTGGCTATATAAAGAGCACCTTTGTATTCCGTCGTTAACAGGATGCTTGTGTTCTTGAATTCCCTCTTCAAAATACACACTATTTAATGTTTTTACAAGATATGATTTTATCATATAACCAAGATGGATAGCTATACATTAGTCTCGTCAAAAAAATACTAAAGTAGCTTGAATAGCAATAACTAATAAGGTTAGACATCTGCTGAATTCCAACCAACATGTCCAAATGGATACTTTACATAATCCTAATTAAGAAACATTGCATCATACTTGAAGTCTCTCCATTTCAATTTTGTCCACCACCATCCACCATCTCATGCATGCTCAGCAGGTTCTATCCAAACAAGACTGTCGACATACTCCACGATTTTAGCTGCACCATAATCTTCAGGGCAATGATTCTCCAAGATTTTCTGCTCGTTTGCAATTGGATCATACAAGACAAGGTAACCGTTATCCTCTATAAGAAACTCATTGCGTGATGTGAATCCAAATACACATGTATTAAGATCACCAATAAACTGTGAAAAGACATGGCTTTTGACCCATGATTCAGCCACCCCATACTCCTCCATCACCCACACCTCATATGCACCATTCTCAATATATGACATCACACAGAGCTTCTCGGACGAAACTCCTAAAACATTCACACGGTTTTGTAGTATAGAATTTGGAAAAAGTATCTCACCGAATGTCTCTGAACCCAAATCAAATGCCACTATTGTTTTTGAATCCATCTTCTCACCAATTCGACAAAGCCAATGAATATGGCCGTCATGACCATCAGCACAAACATAATCATCATCAATAATGTTTGTGATGTGCGATGGAAACCTTTCGGTGATCACCTCCCAGGAACCTTTTTTCATGCTGTAAATCTCGACTTGCAGCCACCATTTAACAGAATATGTGGGTGGTCCACCAAGGCCTGTGAGCTTCACAACTTTTGTAATCATCTGTTTTGGGATCAAACCCAAACCGGAAAAAGATACTGATTGAATCAAATTCATGGGAGGGCGTGGAGTATGGCGGGAGAGTTAACACAGCAGAGAGAGAAGGGTTCCAAATGTGAATGATAGAATCATTATTGTAAGAAGAGCATATTAATCCGTTAACAGAACCAATAACCTTGATGCCATTTGTATGTCCAGATTTGGGGTTAACTGGGACTTTGATGAAATTAGTGAGCTCGAGATTGGGAGAAAGACTCGGTTTTGCTGTGAATGGTTTAAAGTCGGAATAAGATTCTTCTCCATAGTGGAAGACCAAGAGAATCTGATCGTTGTTATGGATGGAACGATGGAGATGGGTTTTTACAAAGGAGGGTTGAGATAGAAAAGCATTCCAAGATTTGGAGACGGGCCTCATCTGAGCAAGCTGTTTGGCTGATAATCGGATGAATATATTTATCAAAAGCTCATCCGGGAGATTCTCTATAGTCGATGGATGTTGTGTTGAAGCCACTGATGTTTTTTAAAAGGCCAGTTCTGTTTGTGCTACATGTGAAAATCTTTTCAAGCTCAGCAGGTGAATCAATCTCTTTTTCAAGAACCTGAAGACAATATTTTTAATAATATATTGCACTTGAAAATATGCTAAGAAACTGCTGTGTTGAAAAATACAGCACGAAAATATCACTCACTCTTAAACTAACAATGGAAGCATGGAAGTTATCCCTCTCATCTCCATGTTTGCGTCTTTTCATTGATCCACTTGTTGTTGATGCTTCAAGCCTTACAAGAGGAGTTGGTGACTCCTCAATGGTTCTGGAATGCAACAACGTTATCAATCGCAGGGTTTCACACCTGTAGAAGCAGTATAAAAACACATCAGCAATGGCAGAATAATTCCATAGAATGAGGCACCAAATACATTGTCTGGATAGATACACTTTCCACACTCCCATTCAGGTCATGAAAACATGAGAATACAGACCTTGCATATGAACTGACCACCATATGGTACTAAAACCAGTTCCATTTCTCTCCATTTTTACTGATTTTCTGCTTTCTTTTTTTTTTTTTATAATTAAACTGGAAAGAAATATCAGCATAGTAACACGGCAAAACTTACTAACTACTTGATGCACTCACTGTTTTTAACACCTCAAAGCCAAGTTCTCGGCATGTAATTCATGTAAATACAAAGTATATAGCTTATTGACAAATGAGGACACCCTCAAGTTCAGAAAAATAAAATTATAAAGTAAAGATAAAAAGTCACCACCTAAAGCTTAAAAGAAAACAGCATGTGACTGTACTAAAAGAAAGACAGACCTAGTAAAGGTTTTCTGTTTCAATATTTGTTCAAGATCTGATATCCCAGTGTCAGCAGAAATGCTAGCAGAATTCCCACCTTGATGAGTGCTAAGTTCTGAAGCTCCAGTTGAATCTGAATCCTTCAGTTCATGAAATCAAAAGTGCAACGAGGTTACAATGGTTTCAGACAAAGTGGTTAGATAAAGCAATAAGAGAAGTACACGTTATTAATCAACACGTAAAGCAAAAAGCACCATGAATAACAGCATTTTAAATAAGTACCCTCTATCTACTTTTGATCATAGTTAATTGTAATGACTCTCAAGTATAGACTTAAATAATATTAACACATTAAAAGAAGAGGTTTACTAAATAAGTTGTTGGCTGTTGCCAGCAACATAACAGGTTCTTAGCCACATATTCTAGATGAACTTACAAGATAGATGTATGAAATAAAAAATAAAAAAAACCAAGATAGCATAGTAAAGTGTTCAAACAAATTCACCCCACCACTATTGTCAATATTTAGCAATTTACCAGCAATTCCAGTGATAAAACACTTGCAACTCACAAGAAACAATAGATTATATTTGTTCACGTCTTCAAGTGAAGGGCATCCAAGTTGAACTCATAAGAAGATGCCACTCAGAACCAGAAATGATATATAGCAAGCACGATGACACAAACAACACAAGCCATGAAGAAATATCAAAACCCAATAAAAGAAATATTACTATTTTCCCTCTTAATTAAAATTAGCAAAATATTCAAGAAATAACTTGATTTTAAAATAATGTGTGAAAACCATAAGAAGTTTGGAAACTCGAGATTAAGCCAAAAATTAAGATGGTATTGGCATAATTATTGACACCGTTATAGCAAATACTAATATGTGAAGTAATTAAAATGATTCGGAACGCAAAGGAACCATGAAATAAACAACTTACATTTCGCCCTGCCTCTTGAGAAACATTTTGGGGATCTCCATTAATCTCTGATCACGTAAGAATGCGCCAAAGAAAAAAAAAAGAACTGATCAATTGAAAAGGAGAGCAGCAATCATCCAATGAAATAAAGAAAAACCTAACACAAAGCCACATTATTATGATACCCTACAATAGCCATAACAATAGCATCGGAATACAGCCAAATATACCATACCGAAGCTCACAATGGCAAACACAAAATATAATTTGATCTAACTGAAAGCAAAAGAGTCGAACTTAACTGGAAAATCCTTTTAACGAACTTTTCTCCGACTCCGCCGCTGTCGCAGTGAGCCCTTCCACCCGCCGCGACATAGGAGAAGCTGGAGCTGTCGAGGAGATAAAGCGCTTAGAAAGATAACGAACGATAGAGAAATAGGGTTTTTCATTTGCTCAAGTTCAATTTTTAAAAGGGAAATTGCATATATTTTATAAACGAGAAATTAAATATTTTTCTATATTTTCTTCTTATTTTCTTATATTTTTTATATTTCATATATTTAATAAGTTCAATAATATTTTAATTTATTTGTCATCATTTATATTGGAGGATAATCGGATGAAAATATAAGAGAATATTTAATGTAAGTTTATAAAATTCAATTTTAGCATTATTTTTTTTACAAATCAATCGTTATTTTTTTTAATACTTGTAATGTTGACATTGTATTTTCTAATTTGCTTGCTTCCATCCATAATGGTGAATCCAATGACCATTGGAATCTGGAAAAAAAAAATTAAAATTCTTAAATACTATAAATAAGCTTTTGTAATGTTTTATTTAACTTTATAGAATTCAATGCATTGTAGAAAAAATTTGATAGGATTATATGAAATGTAGAAATATGATGTGACAGTCCATTTAACTCTATAAAATTCAATGCACTGTGATACCCTAAACCCATTACCATGTCTACTTTTAGGTAACCCTATGCCCTCAGACCTTAACGCTTTCTTTCTTCAATCGACATCTTCATCATAATTATCACCCGTCTTCGCGATTGACGCCTCCACCGACGAGCTTCCCCAATTAGGTGTTGAAGCGGGTAAACAATTTTCACAACCATGTTCATTGGGTCTTGAATCGTGTTCTTGATGGTTTTTTTTTTTTTGCGAAATACGAAACGAGGTGAGGTTTTACCGAACCTAAAGTCGACTCCTCCATAAACGAATTACATCAGACTTGATCAACAACTTGCTTTATTTTTGTGGAATATTTTTATGAGTTATTTGTTTTCTTCCTTTGTTGTTTCACTTCTTCAGTTTGATTAGGAATGGTGATAATAAGAACTCCAAGATATTAAAGAAAAATTTGACATGTCCAGATGTTAATTTTGATGTAGCATTTACGAGAAAAGTCATCAGATTTCTTGAATTTCATTTAGGTAAAGACTTTTCAATACCTTTTTCATTGCATCAGTAAGTTTCCTTATGTAATAAACATAAAGAAATCATTTACATTTGAAAGTTGATCCTTCACTAGTTTTATATGGCTTATATTTAAAGTATATGCAGATTCCTAAAATATGAAAGTCAACAGATCATGTGGAGCTTTGATCATATCTTTACTATTAAAAGGTCTTGCTCACATATAGTTTGAAAATAAGAGAATTTTTGTAATTACCAAATTCATTCATGTTTGCAACAATGTTTATGGATTGAAGTGTTTGGTAACATTAAGATAGACTTTTCTAATGTTAGTATTAATGTTCTGATTAGTGTTTTGGACAAGAGACCAGCAACAACAGTATCACCCCCAAGATAAATTGTGGCGCCTATGAGTAGCATAAAAGCAAGATCATATCATTAATATAACTACGTGTAACAACTTAAAGCATTCATTAATATAACTATGTGTAACAACTTAAAGCATGTATGGAGCATAACTTCTAACAAGGCAATATCATAAAGTACAATGGAGCCAGGATCATGAAGCACAATAGAGTCAGATTGTATCTTCAGACTATTAAACCATTTGAAAATCAACAATTCGGTAACAATAGTATGTAAATAGGCATGATTGTGAATCATCTAGGGATCCAAACAACATCTGGGAAAGGTGGGATCCAATCTACTATTGGGTTTTCTATGCAGCTATACACTAGATTAAGGCAGCAGAAATATTCGATATCCATCCTAAGTGTACATGCACCCTAGGATCTAAGTTTTAATATTATAGCAACATAATTTCAAAAATTATGAATTTGAACTATCAAAAAGGATATGATTACTAACCTCTCAAGTATAATCATATATGCTTGTTCCACTTGAAGTTCTCAAACTTATTGAATTGCTTAAAAGGACTAGCACCCAAAGTAAGATGTCTCTAATGGCTCATACCCAAAAGACTAAAACCCTAAAATATTTAGGAGAGAGGCTAGGGAGAACAACATTCTCACCCTTAGAAGGTTAGGAACGAAATTTATGAATGCCAAAGGGGTCTTTATATATTTGAGGTAACTTACAAATAAAGTTGATTTAAATTAATTAAATAATCATATTTAGTTCTGATTCAAATCTTTATCCCTATCAACTATTATGATTAATTTTAGAACCCTTCTAGAGCTCCAAAACTGTCCACCCCTTTAAGGGGTTCCAGAATGTTTCTCTTGCTCAACTTTTGAACAATTAGCATTCAGTCTCTACACATTTAATCAATTCCTAATTAGTTCTAATTAATTATAATTAATTCCAAATTAATTATAATTAATTATTAATCAATTCTAATTAGTTTCTAATTAATTTATTAATATGTAATAAATCAATTTACAATTTATATCAATTTCCTAAATTTATTTTAGCGCTTGAGGGTAACCCAAAAAGGAATTTGTAATTATTCTCAAATTTATACAAATTTAGTTATGACATTGGACACCTATTTCCAACAGTCTCCCACTTTGACAATTCATCAAGTACTATTGGTCATATCATCTTCGAATAACCAACAAATCATGCCTTCCACATCAACTGTCGAACTCTGATCTTATCAAGTATTAACCTATAGATAAGTGATCAATTATTCTTCTATTTCTACAAGATATCATTGTGAACTAAGTCATGGATTATGAATCAACCTAATAGTTCACCATTATGTTTCGCGATTTCCGATTTCTAATGATCAAAT